GACAATTTATTTTTGTTACCCTTTGCTTTTTATTATTAAAAGACAAAAATAAAACTTTGATTTCAAGACTTTTGCTTGCTACATGTTGAGTGCAAAGAACTTTGAGGTCCAAAAGCTAGAGGGTCAGACCTGTGTTCCTCACACAGCCTTTATAAGTTATATCTTTAATAATATAAAACTGTTAAATGTTGCAGACAGAACTCTTTTTTTTTTTTACCTCAAGCTTTTGACTCCAGGCCTTTAATAACTTCAGACTAAAGAACAAAGGCAACTTTCAACAGCAAACAGGCCTCATAATGCGCAGGGGTATTGCCAACTAAAGAATCCAATTCTTTAGACAAAGTTAAATGTTTGTTTTTATGACAGGAGAACAATCTAAAGAAGAACAAAACCTTCAGGAGGAGAATCTCATTTTATGGAATTACAGAATGTCTACCTTTATAGGCTGTGAACTCCTTTAAAAAGGTTCATGTTCTACCCTGGATCGTGGGTTTATATTATTTTTTAAATCAAACTAGAACAGAAGACTCAAAGGGGAAGCTACTGAAATAAATCTGTAAGAACCTACAAAAGAACTTAATCATTATAGAAAGCTCATTTTTCTGGAAAATGTAAATAACCTAAAGCTTAGATCTGCTTGTAGCCGATATACCTGGTTGCATAGAGAAGCCTGCAGCTCCTTGGTCACTTCCCGTAGCGTGTGATGCAGCACTACTACTTCAGTGACCGCCTGCCCCATCTTCTCTTTGAGCTCCATGCAGGCGGCACTGGCTGCAGATCTGGCGATTTCCAACTCTTCACACAGACTCTTGTTGTCAACCCTTCAAATGTGAAAAAATCATTTTAGGCTATTAGAACACAAGGAAAGGTTAATGAGACAGAATATCATAAAAAAAAACTAACAATCTTTGGTCAGTCATTTTAGAAAAAATGATACAGATTTATTAGACAGGGTGAATAGTTCAAGCCTTGATTTCTTAATATTAATAATTATGGCTCAAAAGGTGGTGGAACAAAATATTCTGTTAAGGGTAGAATCATATTTGTCCAGGCCTGTTATATGAGCTTATTTTTTCCAATCATTCAGTTGAAGCATGGTTGAAAAGCAATGTCTGACATTCCAGGACATTTCAGGGCACTTCATGTCTTCTTCCACTGATAAGCATTACAGAGAATCTGATTTCATTTTCCTAGAAGGAAAGGCAGCTAGTGATAAAAAACAAAACAAACAAAAAAAACAACAACTGACAATTGAAAGCAAATTGAGGGAGCGGCAAGCCACATATCAACCAATGCATACAAATCAGAACTACAGGTTGATATGGAGGACCAGCTCTACCATATTTAAAAAAAAAAAACATAAATAAATAAATGCTCAATAAATAAATAAGCATACAATTAATTGCCCCCAAAATACAACAAATCGGTAGAAATTAAATTATACAGTGAGACATAAATGTAGATATCTCTTCTAATTAGCTTCTATATTTATTTGATTTTGTAATAATTACCTATTTAATTTATTTATTGTCCGTTATAATCTTCAACTTCATTTATTAATTACTTTTTTTTTTTTAAGTATTTATTTATGTAAATTTTATTATATTTTTGTTGGGTTTATTCTTGCTTTGTATTTTTTTACCCTCTTTATTTATTCCATGCTATTTATTTCTGCCTGTTGTTTTTACATTTCTGTCTGCATCTCCCTCATTATGCAAATGAGGAGGGGCTGTGTCTTAGTGGGTCAACTTCTGCCCAATGGATGCTTAGCATTTTACTGCATCGGTAGAATGTAAAGGAGGAGAGGAGGCTCTGAAGTCGAGTCTGAAGTCACGTGCAGTTTCTCAATTAATAAGAACGTGAGTACGGACTCGTGTCGTCCCCAAGTACGTTCTTGAGAAAAACACAAGAAGGTGTGGACTTGGGGAGAACAGGAAACTAACAAGAAACTACATACATTTATTTGTTTATTGTATTTTCAGGGGCAATTAACTGTATGCTTATTTATTTATTAGGGATTTATTTATTTCTGTATTTATTTTTAAATATGGTAGAGCTGATCCTCCATAGTCCGAACCCATCCATGCCATGCTGCCCTGCTGCAGCAATTAAAGCAAAAAGAGCCCAGACCTAACATGGAGGGCAAGATATAAACATGCCTTCCAGACATTCATACTCATTTGAGCTAATGGTCAAATTCTTGAGCTCTACTTGATTATTACAGGTAGAAAAAGAAAAGGAAGCAATGTCTCTGTGAGGACCAGTGAACCATCAACCTTCAGACTCTCTACCAGTTAGATGGTTAGAAGATGCTTACCGAAGTTTGGAGACTTCAGCTTTCAGGTCTTCACACTCAATGTTCCTTTCTCGGAGCGCCTGCAGGGTGTTCCTCAGCATCTTCTCACTCTCCACCACTTGCTCCCTCGCAAACTCGTTCTCATTCTGCAAAAACTGAAACACGCAAAGAAACACAAATAAACAGAGAAGTTCGCCCTGTAAAAATCTTATATCTGGTCAAATCCATACTTGATAACCCAGCGGCATTTCTTCCTTCACACCACAACGGTTTGTGGGAACTGGAAGCTAAACTTTTCTCAATGGAACGTTTTTGGAGGAGTTTAGGAGGTATTTCATATTTCTGAAAGCAGCTTGTGCAGCCTTAGCTTAACAAGAGGTCAAATGAATAAGGGTCTGGACATCAGGAGAGGTGGCGGACCTATAAACATCATGTCTTTGAGAAGAAGAAGAGATTCAGAAAACTGGAACAGGAATGCGAGAGAAGAATCATCCTGCAACTGATCCGAATCCGATCTATTCTAGGCTATCTAGAAAACTAAACCGTTTTCTTTTATTGTAGTCTTTTTATTGTTAGCATCAGTTTTAGATTCAGTAAATATAAGACAACTATTTTTTTGGCAAGATGCTGGGAACCGGCGTGTATTACACAAAATGCAGTCATCTCAAAAGCTTATGTACATTTGAATTGTTGATGCAAAGAGCCAGAGTTTGACTGCTTGAAAAGCATCCCCTCCTATTGGTTTTTATTCCTGCATGAATAAAGCAGCGGAAGACTACACTCTAATTTAATCGAATGCTTCACTACATTCATTAACTAATTTTTAATAATCTCCTTATTCTTTATTACATGTTGTAAATGCTACGTTCAGACTGCACGCGCTAGAGGCAGCAGAAGCAGCTAGTTTACATGCAAAGTCAATGGTTGACGCGCATCAAGAAGCAGCAAAAGGTCCTGCAGCGCGTCTGAGCAGCCGAAGCAGCGCCTCACGAGCTTCTGAGCATCTGATTGGCTGTAAAAGCAGCTGCTTGATGAGCCACATTAACCAATCAGAGAAACGGATCTGGGAGCTGGCAGGGAGACAAACACAGTGCTGCTGTTGCAGATCGCATCACTCCTCTGAAATAGTTTATTAACGCCTAAATTAACTTAAAATGTTGAAAAAATATGTTTGATTTTATTATTCTGGAGCCTGCAGTTTGGATTACGTACGTGAAAAACACCAGCAGCCAAACTCCCCAAGAGTTTGCCGTTGAAGGGGATTTCCAGCGACAAAACTCCGCCGGTGTTCGGGGGTCTGAGTGGCACTGACAGCAAAATAATATTTGATGGCAGGATGGTAATCTTGATGGACTGACCGCACAGATGAAGTCTTCAGGTGGACTTTCTCATTTTAATACATATTAAAACTATGCTTTACCCACTTATAACAGCAAATATGGCAATGCCGCTCTCTGCCATTGAACACAGGAGCAGCAGAAGAATCAGATGCATCTGGACACACTTTACTGGACATTTGAACTTAATGTGAACAAGCATTAAAAATGAAGCAGTAGCTTTTTTTCTGCTTCCACTGCTTGTGGTCTGAACGTAGCCTTAGTTTTACTGTTGTTTAACTTCTCTGTTGTATCTTTATGTGATCCTGTATGTTGGTGAGGTCTCTGTTGAAATTAAGTTGTTTTTTTTTTAAGACAAATAGAAAAATCCACTGAACCAGCTTAAACACAAACTCTATAAAAAAGCACCCACTAACCTCGTTCATATCCCGCACGCCACCCAGTTGTGTGCAGACGTCCTGGAGCTGCTGGATCTGAGCGCTTTGAGACTGGGAGAGGTTCTGCAGCTCAGCCAGCAGGTCTTCGTTTTCAGCCAGGGCCCGACTCAGCTCAGAAACCCGCTGCTCCGAATCTTCAAGAGATGTTTTCAGCCTGGATGGCATGACAACCAGAAATCAAAGCTGAAAAAATTACCTTTAGCGTCCACTAGCAGCCCTTAAACCCATTTTGTTGTGGTAAATGAATGGAATTCAAGAAGTGGTATGGATTTGAATCATTAGCACAGATGACTGATAAATGTGAATTTTCTTTGGCAAAATGGATATTAAAAACTTAAAATTGAAGAAAAATGTAAAATACTAATCATTTCTATTTTAACATAGGTAACATTAATAGTCTGCCTTTTTTAAGAAAGCAGCATAAATCCTTTCATTACTGCTTAAAATACTAGTTTTCATTCAGCAAAGATGAGCCAAAGGAATTTGCCAACTAGATTATTTTCTTCTAATTACAACATAAAAAAAATAAATAAAAAAAAAACATGTAATGCTATTCACATTCTTTTACCAAAAAACAAAACAAAAATCAGACTACTGTTTATTTGAAATATCATGTGACGGACTTTGGACACCTCTGCTTCAGCTCTATAATTGATCAACCTGAACAGAAAGTCACCACTTACTGACTTTCCCTCTCGTTAGCCTGATGCAAGTCTTGCCAAGACTGCTGCAGCCTGTAGGAAAACACAACAATGAAACCACATGTGACCACATTGCATAAACCACATGAACAGCTCCTGATCCCAGGATCATACTTTGTGGTTTCTGCGGCGAGCGCCTGCTCCAAAAAGGTGTAGGACGCCAAGGTGGAGGAAGTGGTAGCAGACAGCTCTGTCACCTTCCTCTCCAGCTGACCCGTCTCCTCGTCTTTGTCCATCAGCTTCTGTCGCAGGACGCCCATCTCTAAAAACAGAAACATGTTAGGAAACCTGACATTGATGCAGAGAATCAGTCAGAGGGGAATAAACCTCACCGGATGTCAGAATTGTGATTTGCAGTTTTAAATCACTATTCTGTTGCGTTGCAGTTTGAAGCTTCAGATGGGTTTCATTCAGCTCCTCTTCAATCTGTTGAGCAAATAAAAGTTGGTTTAACTGATAGACTGATACATCGGTCCGCTGACGTTAGCGTTTCTTCTCCTGCGTCTGCCCCGTTCTTTCCCAGTTCCTATCCACTGTTTTTTTTTTTTTTTTTTGCTGTGTAATATTTTTTGATCCCAGAGTTATCGTTATCATTTAAAAGGAAGTAGAAAAGGCAAAGTTGGCTTAAAAGATTGACTCCTCAAAATATTTCGTGGGATCTGTTAGTCTGAAAATGATCCAAATCAGCATAAAAAAAATAAAATAAAATAAAAAAAAACCTGTTTCAGTCAATCTCTACTTTTTAAAACCAACAGCTTTATCAAAAAATAAAATAAATAAAAATGCTCATTAGATAGACTGGCATTGGAGTTATTTGATTGAAGGTAAAGAATATTTTAAACCTTTCATCTGTAATTTTAACAGTTAGCATATATTTGTCCTTAAGGAGAACAAAGTAATAATAATTATATGCAAATAAAATACTAATTTCAAACTAGAGGAAGATATTCAGGGTTTTTTTTCCTATTCAATCCGATACAGACACTTGGGAAAAGCGTATCCGCCTAAATCCAATCCGAATCAACTGGTCACCCATATATGTTCCCATGAAAGTGAAGGCTTTGACATAAACATTGCTAAAAAAGGTAAAAAATTAGCATAAATATAAATGCACTTTAGATTATATATGAACAAATAAGCAGCAAAGGAAATAAATAACATTTCCATGTAAAGTGCAGTAGATTGGATCTATATTTCGGGTATGACTACTTGTAATTTCAAGCCTTTAAAACCTTTAAGGTATGAGATACTTATTAAGGTGAGACATTAAAAGATTGCAAAGATCAACTAATATTGCTAATTATTTTGGGCCAATATTAGCAGGATTTTTCCCCTATGGACCGATACATCCATTCAGCAGCGATCACGAGAGGCGCGTGCATTGCTGCGCTCTCGCTTAGCATTGCTGAAATATTTTCTAAAAAATTGTTTTGTTTGAACTGAGAGTTTTGTAACGATTAAACGAACCTGGTACAAACTCAACAATGTTTACTGTCTGCTACAGGTCACTGTTCATAATAAAAGCTGCACTGATATCCACTTTTACAAATAAATCTATCGGGTCAAGACTAGCTGGAGAGATGAAGATCCGACCTGCTCTCGCTCTTCAACGGCTTGTTCTCTTGCAGAGCAATGCTGGTCCCTCTCCCTCAGAGCAGCAGCAGCTTTGTCTTTCAGCAGCACCAGTATTGGGGAGGTTTTCTTCAGGAGGCTCCTTACAGTGCAGAGCTTAAAAAAGACATTCCAAATGAAGCCTTATTACTGCTGGAAACAAAGCAATGTGGTTCCTCTTCTACATGAAGCATACCTCATTCATCAAACTGGAGTGTTCCTCTGTAGTCTCAGATAAAAGATTGGAGGCTGAGTTCAGTGCCTCGTTGCAGGCCTCTTTCAGTGCAACCTACATGAGGTGAAAAAGGTCAGAATACTAAATGCAGATTGAGATTAACGGAGTGTTTTCTCAAAGAGGAGGGTCAACTGTTCTGGTTTGTGTACCTGTTTTGGATAAACTTGGTTTAGAGCAGCTAAGAGCTCCTGCTGAGATCCAACACATTTCTCCAGAGCTGAGATTTCAGAGGCACAGTGCGTCCTGAGCTGATCCATGACACAGAAAGCCTGGGAACAGACATAAGTTAACACAGTTTAACTGTAAGAAACACATTAAAAAGAAGGAGAGGTACTAGATTTCATACAGCTACAGGACTATGCAAAAGTCTCAAGACATCCCTCATCTGTTTATCAAAACAAAACTTTGATTATTCCTGAAAACAAACAAAAAAAGAGTTGAGAAACAAATTCCTTGATCAATACAAGGGATGCAATAATAATACAAACTAAAATCGATCAATTTTTTTGTTTTGTTTGAGGTATTTTATTGCTATGAATAAAATAATAAAAGAAAAAAAAAAACCCACCTTTTTCTTTCTTTTACCAACAATAAAACAAATCATGTATTTTTGGCGATATTACACCCCTAGATACGAGTGAACAAGTAAAAGAAGGCCGTGCTCCTTACGAGGACGATAATGAGTAGGGGTGTAAATAATATACATTTTGTATCGATGCATCAATCCAACAGCCGACGGTCCGATGCATCGACACGTCAGCAAGAGTAGCGATACATGTTTTTTTTTTTCCTCCAGTCTATTTTTATCCACCAAACCTATTTTGCCCTCATACCTCACTTCTTTTAGCCACTACCCTCTAGGGGTATAAATAATATACGTTTTGTATCGATGCATCGATCCAACAGCCGACGATCTGATGCATCGATACGTCCGCAAGAGTATCATTTCTTTTTTTTTTTTTTTTTTTTCTCTGGTCTATTTTTATCCATTTGCTCCTGGGAGTAATTCTCACTCCCGTGCTGCGGTGGCGCTAAACCTATTTTGCCCTCCAACCTCGCTTCCTGGTTATACTCTTACAGCAGTTTGTTGCAGTGAGCTTGACACAGACATTTTTGATTTATGCTCAATATTGAAGCGTTGTCTGTGCTAGACGCTGTGGGTCTAGATACGGCCGAGTCCGATGACGGAGGGACATGAGGGGCAAAAAAGGCGGAGATCCAGGTGGAAAAAGGGTCCCAGCTTTCTCGTGCACCTCGCTGTTCTAGCGGGTCAAACTTCACAAGTTGTTTTCCGCAATTTCGGTCATAAAACCAAAACAAGCCGGCCTCCTGTCTGTGGCACTGTTTGCGGTCAGCTACAATTTGGGAGAGGAGCAGTGGAGCGCAGGGGGCGGGGACGTCTGGAGCCGAGGTATTGAATTGCACTGATTATGTGCAGTATTTTTGCAGTAGTTTTTGATGCAACTTTTCTACTTCTGTTATTTGCTGTTGTTTCTAAAAATGATAGTTGTTGTTTCATAATGATATTTCAGCTCTCAATGATTTATTTCAAACTTGAAAGTTTGTTTAGCCTGTAAGGTGTAAAAAAAAAAAAAGAAAAAAATTAATCGATTAATTGAATCGAATCGTGGTGTATTCTTGAGTATCCAAAATAATCGAATCGTTGGGTCAGGAAATCGATACTGAATCGAATCGCCATGATGGATGTGATTTACATCCCTACTACCCTCTTTCACCTTGCACACAAACACTCACGTAAACAGCAGGATAATGCTTTGCGAGGACTGCTCTCTGCACAAAGCATCCTGGGATATTCCATAATGAGTAGAGGAATAAGACTTCTGCACAGTCATGATAAGCTTTTGAGAGGGAAAAAAACTGAATGATGGCTTCTTACTGCCTCCTTTGCTGTAGCAGCTTCTTCCATCAGAGTCCTCATGTCATTCCTCTGTTGAACTGCTTCCTTTACCTTCTCCAGCATTCTCGCCTGGGATTCCTTCATCTTCCCCATCAAGGACTTTATGTGCTCGTACTGCAGAAGATCACAGTTAAGTCATACAACTTATGGCGTTTGTTTTCAAATCAGCTGAGCTATGAATCTACGTACATGTGAGGCAATGCTGCGATGGTCTTCTCTGACCGTTTCACCCATTTCATGCAGGCTGGACAGAGCTGCATCCGTGCCACTCTTCAAAGAGGACTGCAGAAAAAGAAAAAATGTTTGTTTTTATTTGGTTTTTAAATGATGAAGGATTATCTATGAACCGAAGCTCGTCTCACCATGGTAGTTCTCATGTGCTGCATAGCCTGGATGAGGTTCTGCAGAGAAGCAACATCCAGCTCCAGTTCACCTATCCTGCTCAGAGCCTCCAAGTAGAGCTCTCTGTGCATTGTGGTCTACAGAAATGAACAAGCAGAATGTATGAAGGATTTTTAACAACCTTAAACTGGGTTTAATATTAAGCCAAATCTGCAGCTGGACTGTTTGTTCACCTGACTGAGCTCAGTGTGGTCGGTCTGAACCAGTTTTTCTCTCAGGTCCGAAGGAGGCGGGCCTGAAGACGGACCGTGTGCCTTGGCTGCAGCAATCTGCTGAATTAAGACCTCCACCATGATCATGCTGGACATCAGCCGCTGCTCCAGCTCCTCTCGGGGGAGGCTCTGCAGGCCCCCTGGTGGCAAACTGAAACTAAAGAAGAAGTTCACATCCAACTATACCTTTTGTTTTTAAGCTGATTATTTAAAAAAAAAAAATTATACAAAAAAAAATATTTTTTTATTTTCCAGTTATACTGATTGGTTATCTCACATTAGAGTTATTACAGAAAGGTAATATTAGCCCATTTTGTTCACACTGAAAACAGACTAAATGCGTTTGAGATGGCTGTGTCACTACCCGATCCGTCCCGGAAGCATGATCCGTTCTGCGCATGACCCATCAGGTAATTTGCGCATGCAGATATACATCCGGGTTGTCTTCGATTTTATTTTGTTAAAAAGACCTAAATGACATTTTCCCTCCCCAAAAATAGTAAACGTACTAAAATATAATGTGTTAAAGGTTAATTATATATTTCCTGAGAAAATTAATGCCTTAAAATCATTTCCGTTTTATCACTGGTCTCTGCCAGATCTGCACCGGGAATGGGATCTGCTACCTCTGGAGGCTAAATTTTTCGGTTTTGGATTAACATATATCTAGTCTTTTTGAGTTTTATGTTTTCGTTTTAATCTTATGCTATATAGTGCGTAATTTAAAGAGAGAAACAACTAAAATGCAGTTAAACATGGTTTAATTATATTTTGTGGGACTGCTCTGAGCATGTAAAAAGCATAAAATTTGTCTCATAAAAGTCTAAAACATTTTTAAAGATGTGTATCAGCCTTCTTTAGTGAGTTTAGAATAGAAATAAGTAGTCGTAGTAGTTTTAGTACCATAATTACATTATTTATGGACACCTAGATGTATATCTTTCCGCGCATATGCAGGACGGATCGTGCTTCCAGGACGGATCGGGTAGTGACAGGCTGTCTTATTATTAACATCCTACATCATCCCATCCACTTTATACAATACGACAGTGGCAATGAAAGTGAGGAATTTGATTTAAGAAGATCTAATGAAGGCAAAAACACCTGCTTTACTAATAAGATTTTACAAATTGTCAGTTGATTTTTAAAACACACACACAGAAAAAAAAGAAGAAAAAAAAAGATTGTAGATATAACGAGTTTGGTTACATAATTTTTGGTGTAAAGCCACATGACAAACAAACCAATAGATTTAGTTCAAAAGTCAGTTTTGGAAAATCTCCCAAGGTGATTTCAGAGTAACTAAAGATGGCCGACAACAAAGAAAAAAAACAGAGATATATACTTATAGAAAGATTGCTTAAAGAAAATGCATTTATTAAAGGAGTGGAAGCTCCAGTTGACATCCTATGATTTGGAGAAGAGGAGAGGTTTCATTTTCCTCCTCAGGAAACACTTTCTGATTGGCTGCACGTCACATTCAGCCAACTGCATCCTGGTCAGCGCTCGGGTAACATCTCACACTATGATACTAGACATAAACCATTTCTGTCCCATGAGAGTAACAGCTGTTAACTTGTGAAAATAATTTGAAAGCGAATCGAACATTAATCAAAAATATATAAATAAATTTTGCAGTCCTCTTTTGGCCTAAACCGAACAAGCAGAACGAAGGAATTTTCTGATGTGCATAAACCCTGAGAAAATACTGCATTAAAATGCTGATATCTCTTATTAACGAGACATGATACCTATGACTGATTGATGCATTTATAGACCAACAATGGTGGATGTTCTTAGTTTGATGAACAGAAACAAGAAACTAAAGATTTTTCAGTATTTGATCTCTGCATGTTTCGATCTTTAGCCAACTAATCGGAACAATCCTTAGTCTGTAGCAGGAAACCATCTCATTTAAAATTCAACTAATTTTTGTAATGAAGAGGCAGTAAAAATATTCAGGCGAAAATACTCAAGAAGCTCATTGATTGACTACAAACGTGGATGGATACTTTTCTATTGCTAATTCTTCATTTCTGGATTGTTTTCGCATTAAAAGAACAACAGGTTAGAAAACCTTAAAATATGGTTGAATTGCATTGTATCTGGATGACTACAAATATTTTCCTATGCCTTTAAGTATTTGTCATATTTTACAGAGTATCTAAAATTTTCCTGGGTATTAATATCAAGTTTGGAACTTTAGTGTCTTAACTACGGAAGAGGATTAGGGCCAGTGGAGAAGAAAAAAAAATTTACTGAGAATTTTTTTGTTTCATTTTAGTATTGGAAAAAGGTCAGAATTCTGACTTTAATCTCAGAATTCTGACTTTTTTCTCAGAATTCTGACATTAAATCTCAGAATTCTTACTTTTTTTACTATCAGAATTCAGTCAGAATCCTGAGAAAAAAAGTCAGAATTCTGACTTTTTTCCCCCATACTAAACTGAAATAAAATAAAAAAAACTGTTAACTTTTTTTTTTCCCCCTCTGGCCCTAATCCTCTTCCGTACTTAACACCTCTACTTTCAAGACGGAAATAAAATTTGCATCTATTAAACTGTAGATTAGGGCTGATAAGCAACTTCAAGAAATGCTTTGATTCTGATTCATAAGATCTTGAATTTAATTACTGGTATTAAAATCCTTTTTTTAGCTGTTACCTCTATATGACTGGAGCTTTGCACAAAATTCATACTAGTTTTACAATTACCTCAAACAGCATTTTATTATAATAGTTAATATCAGCTTTAAGGAAAGTGGAAATAGATATTTGTTTATATGAATCAATCTAGGAATCAATATTAGAATCAATTAATAATTGGGAAATACATGTTTTTTTGTTTTAATCACAGCTCTTCTGTAGATTTATTCAAATGTAAATGCAGGTGAGAGGGAGATGCAGACAGAACTCACTTCCACATGGACGCGTCGGTCATGGTGCTGGAATCAGCCACAGAGAATTCCCTCTTCCTCACAAATATTCCAGATGTGTTCAGACTGTGGTCCATCGTTTTCACAGGACTGGTGCCCACGGCGATGCTGTGGGATTCTGCAGGAGCAGCTTTGGCCGGAGGAGGCATGAAGGCAGCAGGGGGTGGAGCTGAGCCCATCTTCCCACAGACCTCGTAGAGGAGCTCTGCCATCTGCCGCAGCTGCTGCTGAAACTGGCCTTCGGATTCTGGTGGGGCGGCTTCGGTCGGCGGCTTCTTCCTGGAATCTTCCGGTCCTGCAGCTGAGCCTGGCTGCGGCTGCACGTCCAACTCTGTGGAGTTTAACAGAGGCCGGGGCATTGGGCTTTCGAGGTGTTCAGCGAGCAAACCTGCAAGGTCAACATTAACAGGAGCAGCCATACTTTTCTCATCCTCAATAGCTAAATCTTCAGACAAAAACTTAGAGTCTGAGGGAAGCTTGCAGAAGGACTGAGGCGTTCTCTTGACGATGGGACTGAAAAGCTGCAGAGCTGAGGCGACTGAGGGACACTCTGATAACATCTTCAAAACATTAGGGGATGCGTGTCTCTCTGTAGGGCTGCAGGGTGTGGGGCCCAAAGAGCCGGGCGCAGCGTTCTTCTCCTCGCCGGCTTCAGGAGGCTTAGAAGTGGAGCTGGGCACAGAATCCAAATGTTGCTGCATGCCTTCATGAAGAGGAGTCTGTGCTGAAGCAGGATTCATGGTTCTGGGGACGACTGGGTTTAAAGGAGAACCTTCAGGACGTTCTGCACTCTCAGAGTGAGCTTCCACAGCTTCCAATGACTGGTTAGTCAGGGAAGCATTTATAGGCGATACAGTTTCTTCACCCACCATCATCTCCGCTTGATCAGAGCGATTTTCAGATGAATCGACCACAGAGTCCGGATTATAACGGTCCTGCTGTGGATGGGAGACCGTCTCAGGCGCCTGGGAATAGTCTGATTTCCCAGCATCATCTACCGTTACTCTGTCGGAGCTCAAACCAGTACCTTCGTCCTGACCTTTGGGCTCTACGCAGTCTACGATTTTCCTCTCCTCAGCGCCACATGGCGACAGGTCCTGAAAAGCCTTCAGATCATCGAAGCCAGGTGAGGAATATTTTGGATCATAGTAGGGATGGTCTAAGTGCTGTTCAACGCTTTCCAAACCATCTTCCTCGCCTAAAGTACTGGGATCCATGCCGCAAATGTATGAACTGAAGCCGGAACTGGTGTGTGAAAGGGGAATGGTGTCACCTGCAGGATCGGCGTCTTCTGAGATTTCCACCTCACCACCGCTGCAGTTTAACAGCTTCAAGGTCAGATCAGCTAGTCCATCAGTGGGATTTCCCGCTCCCAGTGGCGTAAAGCTGGGACTCGTTTCACCGATGCAGGACAGATGATCAACATGTTTCTCTGGAGACGGCCGTGTGCCTTCAGCAGAGTTTGGACCATCATCTTGTGATGGATCCCTGAGGTCGTTATGGGGCAGAGGAACAGTTTCCTCCTGGAATCCAGAGGAGTCAAAAACTTCAACCTCACCTCCATCACAAGCAGATGGTTTCCAAGTTAAATCTTTCTCATCTGTTTCACGGATATGGAATGTAGAGTCTCCATGAGATCCACTCTGGGAATCTGGCTGATTGTAATACGGATGCTCTACATGCTCACTGCAGGACTGTTCCATCCTGCTGGGTGAACCAACAGTATCCTCCATTTCAACAGCGACGGTCCCAACTTCAGGCAAAATCAAACTATTTCCTTCACAATCTAACCACCCTGGGACCTCAACTTCCTCTCCAGAACAATTCAAAGACTTAAACGTGACATCTCCAAGTCCACAAACCGCCTGAGCGGTTTCTGCAGGATCTGGAACGACCGGGGTCCCTTTAAGAAACGGAGACGAGGCCAACTGGGTCTGTGTGTCACAGAGACGAAGGTTAGCCTGTGAAAGAGTTTGAAGGATAAATAAACAGCTAAAAACAAGAAGCTTTTCCGAATGTTAGTAGAAACTCACCATGCTGGTTTTCACAGCTTCCCCACAGAGCTGCGGCTTTGAGCTGAGCCTCGAAGAAGGACTCGATAAGTGCAGGAGCTCGTTTTCCCGGCTTCTAAGAGGGGTACGCTCACCACTTCTACTGGAAGACTACAGTCCATAGAGGGAGAGTGGATCAGCACTGGATACTCCTCTAAGGGACAGATTCACACAGCTCAGGGAAGAGGACTTACCCAGTCTGTTATGCTGGAATGGGACATCCTTAGAGGACTCAAATCTGGAGCTCACATATATAAGCCCTTCAGCTGCAAAGAATGAATACAGGGGAGTGTATAAGAAAACATTCATCTAACATTTGGCAAAAGAAACCTTGTAAAAACTAGTGTTGCGCCGATGCCATTTTTTTTTGGCCCCGATACCGATACCTGGCTGTGCATCGGCCGATACCGACACCATTGGTTTGAAATTGACGTGTGTGTGTGTATATATAAAGAACTGCATACTACTTGAATGTAAAATAACTACCATCATGGCTTTGTCAAGCTGCTGCCTACCTTTGTGAAGCAGGAAAAAGACTAACACAAAGTAAATCCAGTAGAATTTTTTATTTCCTACCTAGAATGGGTGACAATAGTTGAATAAACTTTTGGCTCTCAAAATGGTATCAGTGCCCTCTTTGTTGGTACTCGCCGATACCAATAACACCATTTTTACTGCTGGATCGGAGCCCCGTCTGTTAGTGGTATCGGTGCATAACTAGTAATAAGTTCCATTATCTTCCTCTATTCTATATAAAATTGCTATACAACTCTCATTTGTTTTGTCCAAATGATATATTTCCAAAGTTATTTATGTCCACTGCATGTTTGCTTATCCGTGTGTAGAACCAAAACAAATTAATCCAACCTGTAAAATAAAGAGTTTTTGTTTTTTCTATTTTTTCTTCAGATATTACAGCAATTATATCAGCAACATTATGCAAAATGTTATCAATTGTGAGAAACTTTCCTTTTGTCATATTCATGAGCTATAGGAACATTTTTTTCTTAGATCTAAGAAGACCAACTGGTTTTATGGGAAAAGAGCTAAACACATTCTCAGATCTGCAGAATTTGTTGGTTTATCTTCCAACTTTATGTTCTGTCTCTCATCCTCATCACAGTAGCTTCGTCTGGTCTGTTCCTGTTTGACTGTGACTCCATCTGAAAAGCTGCTGCCAATAACACTTTCAATCATTGATGATAGAGCTGTTTTTCAGTGCTCAGTCCGGTTTCTCTGCCAGACAGGGATAGGCTCTGCTTTTACTATGATTAACTGTATGTGTGAAAACTGGCTGAGATCAGGTCTGATTAGCTGTTTCTTTCCTAGACAGAGCCACCAGCAGAGCTAGTTTACTGTTACCTTCTCCAACATAGAAAGTATTTATACATCAGTGTTTCTATGTTGCTTTTGTGTGTCTGCTTCTATCTTGCAATCAGACTCAGTGTGAGGGATTGCTGCAAAATCAGAGACAAAATGCAAACCTCTACTGTCGCCACTGGAGGAGCAAAGCCTGCAAAAGTCAATGACTGGATGCAATCAGCTGCTTTTCCTTGGACAGACAGCTTTCCCTGGATGATCTGATTGAACATTGTCTGTTTTAATTATGTGTATAAATAAAGTGAACTTTAAGCTGGAAATAAAGCTCCCATCTATCCTATCAATAAACTGCCTCTGAAGTTTCATTATATCTATTGTCATGTTATTATAATTAATGTATTCTATAGAGGCAGAACAACATCTTTATTGCTCAGCAGGTATAGGTTAGGTTCAGAAAGGTGTTGACAGAAAGCTAGCTGCTGAAAGATTAGGCAGATAATCAAATTATAAAATGTGTAAAACTTCATCCCCATTGCTTAATAAACAGTTTACTAAGTTTCAGGATATTTTTGGAAGAATAAAGTTGAAATGACGATAGAATAGCGGTGAAATAAAAGGCAGATAAAGATGTTCTAGGGGCGTTTACCTGTTTAAAGTCAAATAGAAGCTACGTTAGCTAAAGTGTCTGTTCATGTAAGGCAGTCAGGCGGCTAACGGTCGCCCGATGAAACTGAAGGAGCAACTTAAAGCAACTATTCAGAAGATAAACCTTACCGTGGAAACTTCAACAACCTCGATCCAAAGTTTGAAATATACCGAATAAAAAGAGGCTGACAGCAGCCGCGTTACTTTCAAAACAAGACGCGAGGACTCTGATTCAAATCCACAAACAGCGCGCTGCTATTGGTCGCTTCCCTTCTTCTTCTTGATTTATTGGCGGTTGGCAACAAAATATTTAGTAGCATTACCGCCACTTACTGGTATGGAGTCTAGTTCATGATGGACTATACTAAAACACATATATAAATATATATACGGTATGCACATGCATACACACAAATATATTTTTATTATATTAATTTACCCATCTATATCATTCACACATTCATCCTATTTATAATCAAATTCTATGAAATAATTTTGTTTTCTTTAAAAGTCTAATAACTATTTGTATATGTTTACTCCCAAAATTCTTCCACAAAATATCTAATAAATTAATATTTTCCTTAATACATTCAAACTCTCTCCTCATATATCTTCTCTCGCTTTTATATTTATGACATTCCAGTATAACATGATCTATTGTTTCATATTTTCCACAGTAATCACATTTGCCAGTAGTTTGCTTTTTAATTTTAAAAAATTTATAATTAAGTCCTGTATGCCCAAATCTTAACTGTTATCATCTCTCCTCCGTTCTATTTGTCTTCCATTTCCTACCATCTTCTGACAACATCCATCACAACCATCTTCCTGTTTTTTCTTCATCCCACCTTTTTTGCCATTTTTCCATCAGTTTTTCTTTAATAATACTCTTTACCTCCGATTTACTTGTTTTAACTGTCAAACTAATAGGATTTTGAATTGCCCTCTTTGCCATAAAGTTTATCTGCTTCTCTTCTTCTTCTTCCTTTTTATGGCGGTTGCCAAGCAACTTATTGATGTGCATTACCGCCATCTACTGGAATGGAGTGTGGCTCGGGATACTATATATAAATTCTCCCACACAAAAAAATATATGTAAAAATTAAACGAATAAATCTTATATCCTTTCTATCAATTTTGTTTTCTTATTGTAAGTCATTAAATACTAAAAAAAAGAAATAGAAAGTTTGTCCCAAATATCTTGTATATTTAACTGCAATTTATTTTCTTGTAATGGACACATTTATTCCCTTCTCTCAAAAGAATATTTAGAACAGAATAACAAAACATTTTTTACTGTCTCTTCTTGAAAACAAAAAACACAATTTCCAGTTGGATGTTTTCCTATTTTAAATAATGTACTATTTAACCTTGTTTAATCATAACGTAATCTGGATATAATGGTTTGCTCTTTTCTATTTCTTCCTGTTCTTATCAACTGTTCTTTGAAAGCTGTAAAGCCACCTTTCAGATCTATCTCCTCCTACTGCTTCTCCCATCCTTCGGTTTATTGTTGTTTGAAGAAAGGATCATTTTCTTGGCCCATATTGGCCCGTTTCAATACAAAGATCAATTTTAATAGAACCTTTTAGAAGCGTAGACCCAGTTCACTATTGAAGCCTTTGAACCCCTGGTAGTTTCTAAATCAAACGCAAATTTTATTGCTGAATAATAAACTCTCACTGAAGATTTTTTGAAAGATGTAAGCTTTTAATTTTAATTACATTCTATGTTATGCAGATGGTCAAGCTTTTTTTAAAAACTTTTGTTTTTATTAAACCATCATTGGTAGGTGTAACAGGTCAGTTCTGCAAAATAGGAAAAGTCACTTTGATCTTCTCCAATAACATTTTAAAAGGTTGGACTATGGGTTCAACTTATCTTTGCACGCTCTCTGCATATCATCTATGGAAGCCATTAAAGACGAACATTAAACAACATGGAATTTCTCTTTCATAATTTGAAGACAAAACCTTGGAATGGATAAAAAGGATTAAACACACTCAATAAATACAAAATAAAAGGGGGTCATTATGGTTAAGTCTAATTAGAAAAGTAGTTTCCTCAAACAGAATGGGGACAATAAGCCTCAAAGCTCAATTTTTGTTAGCCACAAGATATAAGGCGGCCCACTCTCAGAGGTCTGAACTTTAGTTACCGGTAAGTAACTTTATTCCTCAGAGGTTTCCTCCTAAACCCAGATATTTTGCCTTTGGTTTAAGCTGCATTCAGTTAGAGTTCAGACTCCTCACATTATGAGTGGTTTTAGACCAGGGCCAACAGGGCCAAGTGCTGCTGTTGTTAAACTGGACATGAACCCTGTTCTCAAAACAAACACTAGCAAAAACGTTTATACAAGTCATTTTCTTTTAGTGTGTATTATCCCTAGATAAAGCAGATAGGTAAGACAATTTGACAAAGGGATATTTATTTACTTTTAAAATCAAATAAATAAATAAACTGTTATTTCAAGTGTGTGCATAATGTCTAGTTCTAATTCTTCTATTTACCTGCTTAAATGAAGGGAAAATACTGATATTTTAAGATGTTTGTAGATATTTTTAGATCCGTTTTTGCAGTTTAATACTAAATCAATGATTGTATTGGCTGAATGAGGAGACCATAACTGGTTAACTCCTTAGATAATAAAATATATTCTATTTATAATTTAGAAACAACAGTCGGTTTTAAGCCTCACCTGTATTAAGAAGATCACAGATTTCCTCTGTTAGATCAGGATTCTGCAACTTTGACTTTGTGGCTCACTTTATACACATAACAAAGCCCTCTTGGACCTCTTACACCCCTAAACGAGGTCATCAGTGTGGCTGCTCTTATTCAGCTGATGGGGACCAACAAAACCCAGAATACGTAAAATATTACTAATCTGCGGTCCCATCTGCTCCGATATGTATGAGAATGGAAGTTAACAACACACAGCCCTGAGGTGTCCCGGTGGAACACATACACGTTCAATCTGACAAACAATTGTTTACTCTCACTGTCTTGTTTTCTTTTAATTAAGAACATGATCCTACCTGGATTTTTTCTTGGATTACATTGTTCATAAGAATGTTTGATTGTAAAGACAAAAAAAAAACATGCAAGAGAAATTGACCCACAGCATCACACAACCTCCACCGTTCCTAAAGGTAATTCTTTCCCCCCACATACCGATGTTGCTTTGTTCTTGCAGAAAATCTCATCCTGAGTCTAATCTGAGGCTGATGATTGGAGCTTAAATCTGCATTCAGCAGATCAGAAAACTCCATTTATTTATCGCTCTGAATAACGTAACGCTTCAACTAGAAACATTGGTTTCTGGAGTTCTGTCCTGCCTGGGCACCGCTTTCCATAATGGTGAGATAATCAGAGATCCTCATGCAACCAGAGGTCAGCAGTCAAAGCAAACCACCCAGTGTGTCACAGAGTTTATTTTATTTTCCAGTCACCGGTTTCAAACCTGTACCTCCAAGAAATTTCAAAGTACTTTGAAATGTAGGATGTAATAATGATTTATTCACCAGTAGTTTTACTAATATGAATATTGCTTAATATCGTCCTCCATAACTCAAGATTATCAAGATATAGGTCTGATTTTTGAAGAAAAAAAAAATGTGCTCCTTTAAAAAAAATTATGATTTTATTAGAAATCTTCCAGGATGTGGCCAGAACTGATTGCTGAGCATTTTGAACGACTGCTCTAATAGCGACTAGGTTAGGGGGAAAAAAGAATCAGAAAAATAGAAGATAAAACATCTTGAAAAAAGACAAAGAAAAACATCTTTAAAGTCCTTTTTAACTAACTTAGAAGAAATGATGTGATTCCCAGATCGTCATCTTAGAGGGTTCGTCTGCACAGAAGCATCAAAGCAAGCCTAACAGTTTGTTGTTTCACTGAAGCAGTTCTTTAGTTTGCTGTGATCTTACGGGTCGGACCTGCAGAACCTCAGAAAATCCTTCTCCAAACCAGCAGGTGACGTGGGCCGTGTCCAGAGTGAAGAAGAAGAGTCTGTCTCTGCATCGGGTTCTCCTGTAAACTGACCTGGGATCTGCAGACAGAACGCCCCTGATGGCGGCGGCGGCCTCTTCTGGGCTGCGCAGAAACTTGAATCTGGGTCTGCCGCAGTCAGACGGTTCTGTTGGAGAGAAGCGATTTTAAAAAAAGGACACAGACAACAGCGCCCTCTTATGGAGGATCAGTATATCAGCTGTTACCTGCCGTCTCCCTTCCTACAGGGAGGAACTCCTCCAGCTGCTTCTGAGCATGAGGGGTGAAGCGGACATCCAGACTGGAAACTGGAGGCTCTCTGATCCAGTCTGCAATGGTGGTACTGGAGTCCGCACCGTAGCAGGGCCAGTCTGTGATCGGTTCTGGTGCTTCGTTATTTACACGGCCTGAAACTCTGCGTTTACTCTCACATTCAGGCGGCGAGGAGTCTTCTTTGTTCACAAACGATTCAACTTCTTTCAGCAAACTCAGCGTTTCTTTGGGCAGGAAAACTGGAGCCGCCTCAGTCAGCGAAGCTGTTAAAGAAACATCCGTGTCTGATTTCCCTCCCGGATGAAAAATCACATCTTCATCTTCATCATCGTCGTCCCGCTTAGACTCAGCATCACAGTTGAAGTCGCTTGTCTGCTTGTTTTCAGGAGCGGCTGTTAGATCAGTGTCAGACTGACTCTGCTGTGAGTCAAACACCGTCCTGGAGTTCGGGGAGTCATATTCTGGGATGTAAGGTTTGACGTCCAGGACAGGAGTTCCAGCAATCATGTCAATGTCAGAGAGATGCAGTGTGTCACCTAGAAATCAACGGGGGAAAAAAGGCATGAATTACAGCAAAACATAAATGCTGATGAGAGACGGAATTAATTCAAACCGTGTTCACGTTCAGATTCCCACACAGCAGAAAACTTTCCATCCCACATGACTAAATCCCTGATCCAGAAAGATTTCAAACCTTGAATCTTTTCCAGCTTCGCCAGCGTCAGTCCGAGGGAGTTTGGTCGGTGTGGACTCCGTGTGGAATAAACTCCCACCCTCTGACCGTTCAGTCTGGGCGGCTTCACTTTGGCTTTGTAGCTCAGGTGTCCGTTTTTATGGAAAAGAAAAATAATCCTGTAAAGATGAAATATTATCAATAATCTAGAGAGCTTTCCAAAATCAGCTTCAAAGTCGATCATCCCCTCTGGGAGGTGACCTTAATTTAAAGAGCAATGAAATTCAAGCTTAGAAAATGATCATGTTTCACAACAAACAATAAAAACGCAAAAAACTGAATGTCAGCAGGTAGAAGATCAACCAATTAGCTATTAGTTTTGCGCAAATATCAAAGAACTACAGAAGCCGAGAGCGGCCATGTCCCTCCCAAACCTTTTCTCGAGAAAATAAGTACATTTTCTCATTATGTAATGAGATAACAAAGCCGTTTTCTGGTGATAACGAGATGATTGGTGTGTGTTAAAACTGATTACATCCTTCGATACCACAACAACGGGAGAGGATTTCTAAGTACAGTATAAGTCATGGCTACCTGTGTGTAATTCTGCAAATAATCCTATGTTTAACTTTTAGGTAACAAGACGGCGTTGTCCACCTGCCCGCCCACCCGCCTGCCGAGAAACATAGTCCCTGCAGCGTGTCCTGGTTCTCCCCCTGGGCCTCCTCCCGGTGGGACGTGCCTGGAACACCTCACCAGGGAGACGTCCAGGAGGCATCCTAATCAGATGCCCGAGCCACCTCAACTGTCAAAACGAACACGAAACTCTAATATTTTCCAGAACGTTTGTCGTAAAGACGGAGACGTAAAATAAATGTGATCGTCCACACGAATGCATGAAAATGCTGCAAAATGTATGCCAGGCCTGTAAGTGGCGCTGTGGTGCCAAAGCAAAAATAGGCGACAAAATGTTGGGCATGCGCACTAATATTTATACATGTTTGCCCTGCGGGTCCATTTTCGTGGTTCAGTCAAATTCAGGTGCTGAACTATGTCGTCGATATTGCTCTGTTCTTCCTGGAGATATTCCAGAAGAAGAAGATTCTGTTGTAAGCCCGACAGCAGGGTGAGTAGCATGAGCAACAACCATTCAACACAGTACGGCGCCATTGTTGTTGTGATACTGTGTCGCGCATGCGTGTTTAGATGCAACGCTATGACGCATGCGTGTAAAAAAAAAATGCGGTTAGAGCTTAAAGATTGAAACGCGAAAACAGCGTTTCAAAATCTTCCCACTCTGAAGGCTGAATAAAAAAAAGGTTGTTTTCCGGCCCCCGAAACGCCGGCTTCGTATGGATGAGAGGCTGGTTTGGTGAAAAATTTGTGCGTTTAGGCCAGGGTTCGGCTTCGTGTGGACGGGGCCTGAACCCCTCACTCTATCTCTAAGACAGAGACACACTATGGAAAAAACTAATTTCAGCCGCTTGTATCCGGGATCTCGTTCTTTCGGTCATGACCCAAAATTCATGACCATAGATGAGGGTAGGAACGTAGATCGACCGGTAAATCGAGAGCTTTGCTTTTTGGCTCAGCTCTCTGTTCACCACAACAGACCGGTACAGCGCACGCTTCACAGCAGACGCCGCACCAATCCGCCTATCGTTCTCCCGCTCCATCTTCCCCTCATTCGTGATCAAGACCCCAAGATACTTAAACTCCTCCACTACGGGCAGTACATCCTCCCCAACCCGGAGAAGGAAAGCTACCCTTTTCCGGCTCAAGACGACGTTGTTTGTTTGATGATTTGTTTCCTCTTCTTGTTCACAACCAACTAGACCTATGTCTCTGACGCCTTAGCGCCCCGGTGTTACGCCTGTAACAGGTATAAGATGCGTTAACCCTTAAAATGAGTCCAGATTAAAAGATTTTCATTTAAAACTATTTATTTCTACAGTATTCCATGCAACCCAATCATCCACCATGACCTGACAATGAGAGAAAAGACAAAGGAAACTGAAAAACTGATTATTTGCGCTCACGCGGTACCGCTAATGCACAACTACAGGCACCGCAGGCATGGATGGACTGGGAATCCAGGGTTGTTGGACAGCCTCATTCATTACTCATACAGGTTAATCATCTCGTTATCTAAATAAATTAATATTTCTCGTGATAAAGAGATAATTATCTCATTATCTCTAGAAAACAATTAATGGTTTAAACGCGATAACGAGATGCTTATGTCATTATCTCTAGAAGGCAAAGGAAGTGGAATATGACCCTCTGGGCTTCCGTACTAAACAAGCTTCCATCAACAGCATTAGTATTGAGATGACCTTTAAATCTGGGTTCTTAGCCACACGGGTTTTCAAACAATTTGCTTTATTACCACGGCTAAAAGAGGCAGACAGGAAACGAGAATAGGAAGATGGTAGAGGATTTTTTTTTTTTTTTTATAAGTTTTATACAAATGTGGGGTAAGTGGGAGCTCTGGCATTACGGTTCTCAGAACCAGAATCATTCTTTGGAGGTGAAAAGATTCATTTTTGTTTATTCAGAGTGTCCTGGAAAAAGTCGGGTATGAGCCGCATAAAGGCTTAAAGATGGGATCCTATAATGTTCGCTTGCAGCGTGAAAATAGTCTGAGTTGAAAAATGCCCAAAACTTTGATGCAACAATCCTGCATGAAAAAACGCATCAGAATGCAAGAAAAATGGAAAACTGAACGATACACAGCAGAGACCTAAACTTCTTAAGCTTTTTTTTGGACCGCTGATGGTTAACGTTTAACAGTAGCAGGGAGGAAGGATCTGTGGAAATGCTCTTTAGGGTAACTAGGATACAGCAGTCTGTTATTGAAGGAGCTCTCCAGCTCTGCAGCAGCGTCATACTATAAATAAAGATAAAAAAAGGGATAAACGGGTTGACTATGGGTATGCTGGTCTGACTGGGTATGCTCATCTGACAGAACAGCGGCTCTGATCCGGTTTATCGTGTGAAGAAATGGCTAAGCGGTAAATCGGTTGGCAGCAAGATAGTCAGATTGTTTGGGTTTCTGCAGCGATCTGTCCCAATCTAGGATTTTATTTCTGTTGCCCCTTGTAAGTTGTATTACATAAAATATTGATACTATGACTGAAACTATTAGAAAACAAACATTTTAAAACATAAAAGCTAAACTAGCTAACAAATACTTGGAAAAAAATTAAAAGATCAGAAATTCAAAAGTAAAAAATAAATAGGAGTAAAAACTAATGAAGTTGTAAAAACCCTGAACGTACCAGACATGGGAGTACTGTTGGAGGCCCGCCAGTGCGTGCTGAGGGTTGTTGAAAACGCTCTGCTGGATTCGCAGCTGCGCCCGTGACGCGCCACAGATCGTCGGCTGCCTGGGTGTCCCGTTCTTAGCGGAAAAGCAGGAAGTGATGTAACCGATCGGCACAGTCCGGATCATTCCTGCAATGGGACACATTGTTTGGATTTCTTTTTTTCTTGACAATCCAAATGAAAAACATTGAAAATTAATAAGAAAATAAGAAAAATCAAACTTAGGATATACATTTTTTTTTTTCATCATGCTTAGTGGGAGGTTTGGACTATATGGAGACCAGTGTGGCACTTAGACGATCATATTTCCCCCAAACTCTCAGCACTTTTAGGTTTTGCTCATAATATTTTGTGAAGATGGACCAGCTAGAAGAGCGAGGTGCGCGAGAACGCTGGGACCCTTTTTTCCACCTGGATCCCCGCTCTTTTTGGCCCTCATGTCCCTCCGTTGTCGGACAAACTTGACCCCACTTCCTCACCTCCTCGGCCGTATCTAGACCCACAGCTAGTTCCTGATTCTCCCTCTTGCGTAGTGGCGTGGAATAACATAGCGCAGATCCCGCTTCAATATTGGGCATAAATCAAAAATATCTGTTACAAGCTCACTGCGACACACTGCTGCGGGAGAATAACCAGCCCTTTACCGATCCCTGATAGGTCCTGTTGAGTGGCCTGATTCTTACAGCTGAAATTAACTTTCTTGCAACATTAACAAAATTAAAAACCTAAACTATCTCTCATATCTCAAACAAAAACAAGAGAAACATTTAGCTGAAAAAATGCAACATTAGCAATGGTTAGCCAATGGAGGGGGTAGCATTGCACGTCACTGACCTAATCTCCAGGCATGCCTGCTGCACACATTAATAACTCTACCAACGCAAGCCCTATTTCAGCAGGTACTAATGAAAGGGCAAAAATGCAAATATTATTCATCTCTACAAAGTCCCTTAACTCTTACTTCTCCCCGGTTCTGATGCCCGGTTTGAACTAGACAAGTTTTCTTCATCACATCCAGATGTTTGGAGCTGCTGCTTTGCGTCTGTCTACTTGTATCAATTAGATAGATGTACCCTAGAAAGTGACCTGAAGTGACAACCTCACTGCGATGCACTGCTGCAGGAGGATAACCAGCCTTTAATGTTGCTCATCAAATCAATCAGGGTGTAAAAGTTTTAAACCAATGCTATTAAAAAGAGCATTTCGTTAACAATTCACTATTTCTAAATGTTGGAAGCTTCTTTACTTATTTTTTCCCTCTGATCCAAACAGTTCCACTGCAGGATGCGTGTGATAAACAGAAGAAACGGTGTCATACATTAAAACAATGCCAACCTTGCTCTAAAGCGTCTGGTGCTGATGATGAGGGTGATGAAGGTGTGCAGTCTGTCTTATCATGGCCGGAGGAGTCGATCTTTGCCACAGCAGTTTGAACAGACATCAGATGCTTGCGATGCGCTCTGACAGCGCCGTCCAACGCCTGCCTGCTCAGAAAAAAAAAGGTCATTATTTGAGACGGAGGAGTGGGACTCATCTAAGTTGTCCTTTTTAAACTGGACTCACTCTGAGGCGATGATATTACAGTTGTTAAATGATTTTACAAGTTAAACAAAGGTTTTAAAGGTTTTTTAGGACGGGGGTGTCACACCCATTTTTCATCAGCCCACTTTGGCATCATGGAGCCTCTAAAAGGGCAGGCTGCAACTAAATGAATGACACAATTGATCCCATCAATTTATTTACACAGAGCACACTGCTATGCTATTATAACTTTAAACGTGTCTTTTGAGACTCTTTTTAAAAGAAAATATGACTTTACTTCTTATAAATTGACATAATAAGTCAATTTTGGCTCTTGAGGGCCGGTGTTCTGTCAGATCAGCATACCCATAGTCAATACCCACACGCAAGACGTAAGGTTTGCATACGCGTATGCTAGTCCCGTTTATCCCTTTAGTTTTGTATAATAATTAACTTTAAACTACCTCGACTGGCGTGTATCTACAACGGAGTATTAGGGCCAGGTTATAGATTTTTTTTTTCATTTTTTATTTTGAGAATAGTCATAACTTTATGGAAAAAAGTTGGAACATTACGAGAATAAATTCATAACATAACAAGAAAAAAGTCGTAATATTACGAGAATAAAGTTGTAATATTATGAGAATGAGCTTGTAACATGCGCAATCTGCCGACCAGCTCCACCAATCAGCAACCTGAGTCCACTTAGACCTTATGCCCAATTTGATGCTGGTGCTAAAAGTTTTCCTTATTTTTCAAACCCTAGCCAAAGTATAACTTCACATGATGCTCAACATTTCTCATTTTAGGGAAGAAAGTGCTTCTTGTAAGAGTTGTCATAAAATATAACTTGTTTCTCATAATTTTAGGACTTTATTCTCATAATTTTAAGATTTTACTCTTGAAATAGAAGAAAAAAAAACCCTAGCCTGGCCCTAATACTCTGTCATATGTGTCCTTTTAGTCATGAAAACAAGTTCAGATTCGCATATGCTTCAAAAAACACCAAAAAGTAAATAAATTGTTTTTTTGTACATGACTAAAGATACAATAAAGGGATCAATTAAAGGGATAAACGTGTATTGACTATGGATATTCTCATCTGACTGGATATGCTGATCTGACTGGCTATGCTGGTCTGACAGAACACCAGGATAAAATGCTAAGGCGATCTGGATATGGCCCACGCGCCGTGGGTTTGACACGTGTTTTAGGAAGACCTTCATTAATTTAGAAATATCAGCAGAAAACATTTCTCTGTAGAATAATCTAAGATTAGATTTTCTGAATCTTGTTCTATAAAATTATTGATTAATGCACTAATGCATTAAGTTATCTTCATTTTCATAAAAAGAAAATTAAATCCACAGAAAAGCTAGCTTTTTTTTTTTTTTGCCATACTGGCCTAGAATAATGTTGGTCACATTTTCTTGTTGTTGTCGTTTGTTTTCTTGCTTTTTTATTAATCACATTTTTTCAGAGTCAAGTCCAATCGGACGCTTACTTCAGTTTTTGGTGTTTTTTTTTAGTTGTTTTGTTTTTTGCTCAAACATACCTGACATTTCTTATTTCCTTTCGCATCACAGAAACCTGCTGATTTATCTTTCTTATGTTCTCCCCGCAGCTCTCACACAGCGGACACATTATTGAAATAAAGAGAAACAATGAGAGTTTCCCCTGCTTAGCCTTTAGCTTCCACCACAGAGAGCAGAGAGTCGAAGGAAGCAGCTCCGCGTGAAGGAAACACGTGGGATTTAAATCGCTGGCCAACAAAGACTGTTCCCAGTGAAAAACAAACAGATCACAGCGGCCATGAACGCGAACTGTCGGTGGTGAACAAAGCACGAAACGGTCCAGTAACAGATTTACTATCTTTTAATAAAATATTAATGGCGGAAAACTAGACAGGTTTAGGTTGTTTTTGCACATTGATGTTTGTAACACCAGGTGGCAGCAGAGAGTGGAGTGAAAAAAGAAAAATGGCGACTTATGATAAAATGTCAACATTTGGATTTCATACTGCTTTATGTTTGCATATGACAGAAGAAAATAGAGTAAATTTTTCATCTAGAAAACCATTAAAAGGGAATCAACCCTGATGCTCTGCTGGATCTGATTAGCTCAAAGCATGGGGAAAAATAAAGTTTGCCAAACTTTATATTTACTTATTGCTTACTTACAGAGATTTCAAGTAACAAAGTACAAATACTTCGTTACTGTACTTAAGCAGAGGCGCAGCCAGAAACTTTCATAAGGGGGGCCAGGCAATAACCAATCAACACCGAGGGGCTGCTGAAAGCGGATAGATGCCAGAACCTCAGGGTCAATCTACACTGTTCCAACAGGAAAATTAAAAACACAACACCCATATTTCCTACAGCCTTTGCTAACAAATAGATGCAAATATTTAACAATCTGTGCTTTCTAGATAAAAGGTATAGTGGATACAATTCTTTCAGGTTTGAGTTCTATTGCAAACTTCTCTTCCTTTGTCATTACTTACCTACTTTTATCAACAATTATTCTGCATAAAATTGATATTTACAAGTACTAATATAAACAAATTTATTATTAAGTTTTTATTAAAATAGTTATTTATCTATGATTTCTCTAAAGACTCCTTTACCCCATATAACACAAAATCTAGCTCTGAAAAGAGCATGAATTATCATCTTTAATGTTAGTATATTGATGTGCACAATTAAACACATTGTTTTTGTTNAATTAAACACATTGTTTTTGTTGTAAAGTACAAATTAAAACGTTGTAAATATTCCACTTGAGAGTATTACTGCTGCCACCATCTGTATTGGGGGGGTGGGGGGGGCTTAGCCAATGATTGGCTAAGGGTGGCCAAGGCCACCTCTGTCCCCCCATCTAGCTCCGCCCCTGTACTTAAGTACACTTTTTATGTATCTATACTTTACTCCATCACTTATTTTTCTTCCTACTTCCTACTTCTACTCATTACATTTTCACTCAAATATCTGTACTTTCTATTCCTTACATTTTTTTAAAAAACGTTACTCGTTACTCTTGGCTTCGGTTTAATGTTTATAAATGTTGGTTTCACGTCATGTGCTCCATCCAATGCAGATCATTGGCTCCATCCACATCTAGTGAAAACTAGTGTGATTGGATGAGTCATATAACGCAAACACTCATTGGTTAACTAAAGGAAATCATCAGAAGCAAGCAGGTGTTCTTCAAACTGTAAACGTGAATTGTCTAAGCCAGGGGTGTCAAACTGATTCCAGAAAGGGCCGTGTGGCTGCAGGCTTTCATTCCAACCAAACAATAGCACACCAGATTCCGTTCATCTCATCAAGTCTTCATGTTCAGATTGGGCTCACTAATGAGATGACTAGAGTCTAGTGTGCCATTGCTTGGTTGGAAAGAAAACCTGCAGCCACACGGCCCATTCTGGAACCAGTTTGACACCCCTGGTCTAAGCCATGCTACAATGTTGGATTCAGACATCAAAGACATCAAAATGTCTGAAAGGTGGGACACAGGTGAGAGCGTATCGGGAGATGGAGACCAACAAGACCTCCCTCATCCTTGGCCCTATCACAGAGAATTTTACCCAATACTCGAATATTGAGCTTTCAATTCATATAGTGGCATCTGGCTGTTTTTT